CCTCTCTTGGTTGCAGTAGTTCCCTGGCGGAAATTGCCAATTAGCTCAATCACCAACTCGATGTTGGACCTGCTACTAGCGCCTGGTCTGTCGATTCAGCCTCGACGTTGGAGTGCAAAAGGTTAAAAGTTAGGTTGCCCAATGTTGGGTATGAACCCTTTGCCCCTCATGGAGAAGCTCCTGGTTTCCAGTTTTCTGCCAATTGTGGGTCACTGTTCCATGGAAGAGTTTGTGAGATTATGTCTCAGCGTTTCTTACCTGCTCCAATGTGGGTTTCCTCTTGATTGGCAGATATGAAGGAATTGCTCTGCCAGTTTTTAGGTGTTTGTTTTTGTCAAAGGAAATTGTTCCATATGTAGCTATAGATTTGGTGTGTCTATTGGAAGAGACATGTTCAAAAGGGTAGTGGAGATGAATAATGATCCACGTGAGCCTCAAGTCTACTGTCGGTCCCCCATACTTTCCTAACAACTGTCGGGGAACTTACGGAACTGGAGGTATCGAAGACCATAAATTATGAAATATCCACGTGGGAGTCAACATTTATGACTGTAAAAGTAAGTCTGCAAACCATGTGTGTACGGCAGCAGCTGTGCAGGTGCTGTAACAAATATGCGTGGAGCCGTGGTTGACATTTTCACTCGCAGCTTAATGGTTTTCTTAGCTAATTGCTTTCATTAGAACTTCAGAAACATCAAAGGAGGACTTCAAATTAGATTCGATTCAGTACAGGGAGAACAGATGCAAAATGCGCTCTTTGTTTTTCCAGGGTCAGAGTTTCCTCATAGATCTGAGGACAGCAGCCACTAGTTAATTAACATACGAGAACAGTGTTTCTGAAGGTGTTGTAAGCAGACCAGGAAATCAAAATCCCCTGAGTTTATTACAACGGCAGAGCCCCACTGAAGTAAGCTTTAGATCGTAAGAGCTCTCAAGGTGATTCTTTAAGACACTCAAGTTTGAAAATGTTTGCATTCGTTTATAAAAGGATCACGCCAGACCCCCATTTATTATGACTCCATCACTAACTGGCTGTGTGGCCTTGAGAAAGTCACCGAACCCCTCTGGGCCTTGATGTCCTCGTACACTGTGTCCTACTATATCAGTAAAGCCCCCTTGCCCTGTTCAAGGCTAAATTCCACATTTCAACCAAACAAAGACTGCAAGGAGCGCCCATCCCTGGGGACGGGGCTTGGAGTCTCACCACGTAGAGCTGTTTCCAGATGCTGCCCCATTCCCAAAGCGTCGTTGTCACTTCTTGTGCCAGAGGAATTTCTGCAGGAATGATGTTCTCAATATTTCTATTTAAGGCAGGAGAGAAAGCGGTGTGAAATTGGGACCCAGGTGCTAACAAGACAAAATGCTGGCCAATTTGCATGAAGCTGCAGTTGCTGAGAGGGTCCTTGCTGTGAATTTGCTGTCCCCTCCAACAGCCACACCAATTACATTATGCAAATGCAAGAGGCTTCTCTTTTAATGTCCTCCTTCACTGGGGTGGGCCCTTCAAGCTCATTATTCACGGTTAATTTAATTAGTACAGTCCAAAGGCAGTTGCCAATGAAAAGTCTGATTCTCAAACTTACTGATACCCACTCAGAATCAGACCTGAGCAGGAATCAATTTGGATTAGATGAGGGAAAGGAGCCACACAAATAAACACAGGCACGAAAAAGACGGATCACATCCACCAAGTCATGCTTTCAAAGAAGACAGGACAGAGACACCCCATAAGCCACCGAAGGCCAAGCCTAGTGAAGAATGGCAAGTACCTTCTTTTTTCAATGGTCACTTCCTTGATGTGGATAAAGGACTTAGGAAAAATGCCCTGTTGGAAATAAGATAACATAGCTTAATATACATAACGAAACATCAAGTACAATAGAATGACACATCCCCACAGAAATAACTGAGCCCAGGTCCTCGTGGCTTTTACAAAAGCCACTACTGGAAAAACTCTCAAACTTTAAAGGAATAACCCCAGCATCCACAGAGCAAGGGCTGGATTCTAAATCCACCCATTTAGGTCCAGGTCTCCTCCAGTTCTCCGTCAGTTCTTCTAGATCCCACAGTAGCGCTAGATTTCAAAGGATGCTCCAGCCCCAGGTGACACATGGACGCTCAACGTTATCACATGGGCAAGAGAGGGGTGCTTGAAGGACTCACTCTAAGAGAGACAAGACACTCTGCCTGGCCCCTCTGTGCCCAGTCCCCCTGCACAGTCATGAGCAGTTGGAAGGTCAGGTCCTGAGCAAGCGTCTCCCTGGCTGCAAGTGGACTCGTTTGATTTGAGGTCCTTTTCTCCCTGGTTTTATTTGATTGCTCTTTAGAGAGCAAAGTAGGCTCATGCCTCCCAACACACCACTGTCAGGGAGGAAGGAAGAAGCATCTATTGTTATTTCCTTCCTCCAAAAGCTTGGCTCAATTAATAATAACAGTTTGTCAATTACTCGGAAATTCCTTCCTAAATTCAACCAATAGGCACAGTAGGGGCATCTGCCACTGCACTAGACATTGTGCGAGGTGTGTAGAGGAGCAAAGCAGGCACCCGCTCTCGTGGAGACGAATACGGTGCAATGTGAGGCTGGAACAAGGAAACTCGCCAGCCCTGTCTCTTCTCTGTCGTGGCGATACAGAGGTGAGGAAATTATGAATGCCCGAAGCACTCAACAGGAAAGCAGTAGATCAATTTCAAATAAAAAATGCACAGTACCATGGGGATCAAGGAAGGGAGAAATCAGATATGACTGGCATATTGGGAAAAGTTTCAGGGAGGAGAGGGCTCTGCAGGTTGGCCTTGAAGAATGAGTGAAAGGGGAAGTTGAGGCTCCTGAGTACCAAGTTGTAGAGGTGGGAAAGCACAGGACACAAGGAGGGAGGGGTGGAACCTGTTTGCTAAGGAATGGCAGGTAAAGATACCCAGTATTGTCCCAAATCAGAACAAATTCATCTTACCTGTAACATTTTGTGCTTTAGGAGGTATCCCCTATAAGAGAAAACAAAGAAACAGGTCTCTCATCTATTCTCACAAGTCTATCACAAGTCTATTGCTGGTATTTTTGTTGGTGTGTGTGTGTGTGTGTGTGTGTGTTTGTTTTTAACTAGCAAAGAAACTCCTGCAAACTGCTTTGGACCTTAGATACAAATCAAGTCGGGAAGCCCCTGGGCTTCAACCAGCTGTTCGTTGCCAAGATCTCCAAAAAACATCTACAAATACAGGAATGTCACATAAAAGCAAGTCTCCTCCTTCTTTTGAAAAAAACAGGAGGTTCCAGCAGAGATGGCCAGCGCCCTCCCATGGCCACAGCTGGCTGGTGGGGAGGAGCAGCTGGTCTCTGAGAAAGAGCAGGTGCCTCCAGCTCACTGGCAGCCACCCAGCCCCTCCCTTATCTCCATCACCTGCTGGGTGCCGTGTCCATGTGCATGTTTCAGCCTCGGCCTCAAGGACATGCAAAGGCTAAGGGAGTTTGGCAAACATCCTAAAATAATATCCCAGTTCTAACAGCAGCAAATGACATCTAACTATGATCTGCAAAAGTTAGTCATTACAAAACAGGCAAGTTCAGAGATGGGTAAAAAGATGTTTAAAAGATTCTTCTTTTTGCAGGAATATCAAATGATACAATTAACACAAATCCAAGTTGCACCCAGGCCTCAGACAAAATGAACCTCGGTGTAGCAAGTACTGATGACTGTGATGAGCCCACTGGCCTTTGAAATGAGTCAAGCACAGCCAAGTAGTGGCGTTTGTCATCCCCGTAAATGTAACGTGTCTGTCGGGAGCCTCATTAGCAAACGCTCATTCCCAGGCTGACAGATTGTAGCTGAAATATGTTCTCCACAGACTGAAGAGCAGGTCCCAGAACAAACAACTTACAATGCAAAGTCACCCCTCCCGTCATGACACAGTTTGAGGGGCAGGGCTTAAAGAAAGTTCCAAAGCCACTGGGGCCCACAGTGGCTCCTATTTTGAGAGGAAGAAAGAGAGAAAAAGGATAAAAGGAAAGCAGAAAAAAAGGAATAGAGGTTGGAGAGAAAGATTCTCAGGTTTGGAATTAAGTACCATTCTAAGCACTCTTTGAGTATGAAGCCTTTTAATCTTCATAACAACCATATGAGATAGGAACTGTAATAATCACCCCATTTTGCAGGAGAGTGGTCTACCTGAGGCACAGAGAAGTAAACTAACTTGCCCAGGGTCACACAGCTAGTGACAGTGTCAGGATTTGAACATAAGCAGCCATCATACCGTGCTTCCTGTTTAATGTAGGAAGGAGAATAGTGGTTGCCTAAGATCTTCATCCTCCCAGCACCCGAATCCCCAAAACCACAGCCCACTAAGCTACTTTCCAGCTGAATACTTCCAGCGTGAAAACCTTACCACACCACACAGCATGACATTCTATTTTCATGCTCCTCTTTAATTTCTCCATCATTATTGGTAATAATTAGCCATTAATGACAGAGCTTATCCCTTCTGAGTGCTTGCTGTGTGCAAGCAACTATGGTCAAGCTTTTAGTTTTGTTTTGTTTTTAATTATAAATTAATCTTCACAACAATCCTAGAAAGTCAGTACAATTACTGCCTCAATTCTACAAGTGAAAATAGAGAGGCACAGAGAGACTAAGCAACTTGCTCATGGTCACACAGCTGGTGCGTGACGCAACTAAGATTTCAGCCGAAGTATCTGACTCTAGAGATGACACTCCAAAGCACTGCACAATAACAGTTCTTCCCCATCCCACCAACTTCGTGTGAGAGCATTTCTGTAATATCACTTGCTACCATTTATTGATGGTTTAATTCATGTAAAGCTGTATGCTAAGTGTTGTACATGCATTTTCTTATTTCAATACTGTGGGCTAACTATTAACATTCCCATTCTATAGGTAAAGAAGTAGAGATTCAAGTCAATTGATGTACTGGGCCAAATCACCACAATCAGGGTTCAAGGGCATGTCTGCAGGGCTTCAAATCCAGCCCTCCCAGCTGTTCTGCCACAATGTCCCCTGTGAGATGAGCATAAATACAGATAACTGTCTCTTTGAGTACAAATACAGATAAGGGTCACTTGGTTGCAATGACCTGAATCCACTTGATGGCCAAGGCCACCAAAATCCACCAGAAAGCAGGAAAACAATCAAGGGACAAATAGACCCTGCCCAAAGCTCATGCCCACATCTGCATCTCTGTCACAGGGGCCCCATTCCAGGGACTTTGCCTGCTCTGACCCTTGAGACTCAGTTCCTTGTGCACACTTGTAGGTTTCCTGATTCTCAGAACTTCGGCTCACTCCTGAGCAAGGAGTCTATTGACTTTTACCCCCCAGATACACATTCTGGCTCCCATATGCAAGTTCAACCAACACTGATTGTCCACCTATCATGTACATGGAGCTAGGTGCTTTCAGAAATAAATCCCAATGACACTTGGCGAGAAGGGCTTATACCATCTCCCCATGCTAGGTGACGAGAATGCGTCAACTACTTCAGCGCTGACATCCCCACCCTGCTGGATCACTGACCTCTGTGACCTTCTGAAGTCAGCTGCCTAATCTGGTCAGCTGTCACCTTTACCCAGCTGTACTCCAAGACCTGAATAGGCAGATACCAATAGTAGGCACACGCACAGCCAAATCCTTGACAACAGACTTTGAGCTTTGAGTCAAAGCAGGCTCAGTGTAACACAGCACTTAATCCTACCCCAGGACTTGCCCGAGGCTCATCGTTCTTTCAGGTTAAATAATAGCAAGGGGTTTTGTGCTAATCCTTCCCATGTAATTGCACTTCTTTTCTTAAATGGAACACTCACAAAGTGCATTGCGGGGGGAGATGAGAAAAGGGATTTTTTTAACCATACTTCTGGACAATTGTAAGTGCCAAAATACATCCATTGTCCGCTCTTCCCACATCCCAAATACCAAAATGAAATGTACCTAAATTCTCTAGTCACCTAGGAGTTGCAGGTGGTGGGGAGAGGGAGGAGAGATTAAAAATATCCCAGCACACCAAAAAGGAATCACAGCCTAGAGATCCAGTCCTCTCTCTGTCACCTCCCGGCAGCATGATGTCTGGTTGTCACCTAAGCCTCAGTTGTAGGCAGTTAGACAGACATGAGCAGAGCAAGGACGACGGGCCAGCTACAGAAGGTCACCAGGGCAGAACCCCCTGGACACCTAGTGATGAAAAGGAACTGGTAGAGCAGATATTGGAAATATCCACTTCAAAACCTTGCCCTTGGGATTTCTCTCCCCCCTAGAATGCCTCCGGTTATGCAGGTGGGATTCTCCTGACCTTTTCTCCTCCAGCGTGTGGTTGTCATGTGGTAGATGTGGTAGACCCCCACCTGTAGAGAACAAGGGGGCGGGGGGAGAGGGCTGGAGGCTAACTTCTATGCAGGAACAGAAACAGAACAGCCCCTGATAGGTCAGTTTGAAGAAGAAAGCAGTTAATTCCCCTCCCAGGGTTTAAAAAGGAATCCTAGCCCCTTCTCCCTCTCTCCCCACCTCATCCACCCCCCACCCCCAGCTTGAAATTTCTCTTCGAGTGTACTTACTCTTTGTTTGCTCAAATAAATTTTCTCTAGCGAGTTTGGGTCTTGGCTCTGAATTCTTTTCTTATCCAGAAATCAAGTCCTGAGGTTGCTTTGCGTTTGACTGAGTGAGCTGCGGTTAACTGACCTCTCCGTGCATCTGGCCGAGTGAGCGGTGGTGAACTGTCCCGCTCAATGTTTTGATGAGTTCCCTGTCTTCTCCTTACTCTCTGGCCAAGTGAACTCTCTTGTCCTCATGGTGGCTGGGTGAAGTGTGGCCACCGACACTCCACGCTGTACGCGTGCCCACACGTGGTATTTTGTGGAAGAGCCACACTCAAGGGGCCAAAGAGCCGCATGTGGCTCGCGAGCCGCAGTTTGCCGACCACTGTCCTAGGCCAGCATCTTCTCTGAAAAAGGTCAATCTTTACCTTACCTGAGCTGATCCATTATCTTTCTGCATCTTTGATAACATATTCTTGCAATGTCAAAATAATTTTTCTTTTTCAGGACCCCTCAAAGCTCAGGCATCACTCTGTGGAGACCACAAATCCCCTCATTGCTATAGGTAATTGTTGACTGTTAACTATCCTGCACCCACCTAAGTCAAAGAAGTCTGTGACTATCATTTTACTTTTCATTCAATCTGAGAAGTTTCCCTGCTTTGCTTTCTACCACCTTCCTAATCTATCACCAATGGATTTCATGTAACCCACCAGCATCTCCTCAGTTGATTGTAATGTATAAAATAAGATGCAAAACTGCTATTCTCTGGAGCATTATCACAATCCATTGAGATTCTGTTTCCCAGCATTTGTTGACAGTTTGGCTCGAATAAACCCACAAAAATTCTTCACAGGATTCAAAGTTTCTTACATTGACAATTGGCCAAAAGCCCATGGTCTTGACTTGAAAGGAAACAACTCTGGGTACCATCACCACCACCTATTCAGCCAACATCAAATTTTATTGAGCAACCTCTGAGTGCAAAGCATATTATACTACACATGCCAAGGAAATACATCTTTCTCTTCACACTTTAAAGGATAAATCCAGACAAATGGAAATACTCATTTTTTTAGTCACTCCTATGAGCACAATTTAAATAGGCAGGTGTGGGGAATATAGAGCGGCTCATGACAAAGGTCTTCAAATGGGAATATCTTTGCATCAGTTACTAGTTCTGTAAATTGTTTGAGTCCCTTATACTTAAAAATGGCATCAATGCCCCACTGGTGTGGCTCAGTTCCATTACAGGTCAGGGCACATGTCTGGGTTGTGGGCTTGATCCCCAATATGGAGCATGGAGGAAGCAGACAATCGCTGATCCTCTTTCATCATTGTTTCTCTCTCTCCCTCTTTAAAATCCATAAAAACATATTTTAAATAAATAAATAAATAAATAAATAAGGCATCGAAATCCTTCAGGTTCTGTGGAAAAGGAAATAGGATATACCAT